TCTCCATTAAATGGAACTAGATTCAGATCAATAAAGCTAAAAGAAAAAAAATCAAAAGAGTTCCTATCTCACTGCACACACACACACAATGAGTTATGATTAATATTCAAACTACTAAAGTTATCCATTGCTTTTCATATGTGAGGTTTTCCAGTTATAGCATATTTGTTATTTACTTTGATTTTCACACACCTTTATAAAAAATAGGCTTGGGAAAAATATAAGTTTGATTTAACAACATAATTACAAAGACTATTTCTGAAACTATTAGTTAAGAAAGGAAATTAAGAGGTATTTTGAAAGACACAATGAAAAGTAACAAAACTGAATGTAAAATTTGACAAGACCAATTTTTCACTATAGCCATTTAAAAAATTAATTGGTATAGAGTCGTATGCTGGAATTTCTTCAGAGAGAAACAGCACTAAGTTTCCAGGTAGAATGAGAAAGCAGATTGTGCAAACAGGTATTTCCAAAGCTGCACACATCCATGTGCCCAAGTGCCCAGCTTGCTTGAACTACAGTCCGATAAAATTCTACTATGAAGAATAATTTCTTCCTACTATGTTATTTTGATGCTGTAAATTATATCAAGAAATCTAAAAAGTGTTATTCCTGGTCCTAGGAATGATCATGTACTGCTGAAACTGAACAATAAAAACTTAGATGACCAAAGGATTTCTAAAGTTGTTAACACTACTACTTAAGGTGTTAGGCACTAAGCCAATAAGATGGTGAGATAGCTTATTGTGCCAGCCTGGCCGATAAACACAAGTGGGATTAACTGAAAGCAGAGAGATAAATGGCTTGGTGAGCCTCGCCTTTCTTGTCTCTCGCTCTGTGATCATCAGAACAGTGTGCAGCTGCCTTGCTTGTTCTGTGCCTCAATTTAAAGGCTACACTACCTGTGGGACGCCTAGCCTGTGGACTGTGTCGCTGTAAGTTGAGGTCCCTTTAAGACATCTCTGGAGCTGGGGACTGGCGGTTGGTGACGTGGCTGGCAGTTGGTGACCTGCCTTGTGATTGGCTGCTGTGCTGACATAGCCTAACTCTCTCTATAAATAGAGGAAGATCTGGCAGCAGACTAGACTTGAAGGACTGCTAGTCTCACATCTCTCTCACGGCAGTGAGTTGAATTGAGCCATTTGTAGTGCTTTGTAATTTAACTGTTCATTTCTTGTATTATATATTTATCTGTACCTGGTTTAACAGTTCATTTCTTGTTATACAGATAATTATCTTTATAAATAAATATATTAAATTATCAGCAATTTGGTTTTATCTCTCTAGAGAACCCTGCCTAACACAGATGGTAAAAATTGTGGGCCAATGTGTAACGAATACTTGGTGGTGTGTGTCCTCGAGTGGATTCCAGCTCACAGTGATCCAATCAAGACAGGGTAGAACGGTCCCAATTGGGCGTTTTTACAAGCAGATGGTCAAGTCTTTTTTCCAGCAGAGAGGCTGGGGTGGGGTGGGGTATGAACTGCTGATCTTTTGGTTAACAGTCTAAAGTTTAACTTGTGTCACCAAGGTTTCCTAAAGAATTCACACTTATAATTAGTACATAAAATACTGAGGTGCTGTTAGGTGCCATCAAGTCGGTCTCGACCCACACCAACCCTATGCCCAGCACCAATACACATTTCCTAATCCAAGAAGAAATTCTGATGTGCGTGTGTGTGTGTGTGTGTGTGTGTGTACATATGTTTTTTTTCTGCAACAAATTTCTTAACAACCTTGAGAAGACATTCAGATCTAAGCATTTCATAAAATTTGAATACACTTCAACTTGGGTCTATAGTAAAAAAAGAGAAAAAGAAACAAACAAAAAACTCTAGTTCTCTTTAAATATCACTAACAATATAGCCTAATGACATCATAATACATTCAACTTGGAACAAGTATGAGACAATCAATAACCTGAATTTTTAAAAAAATCACAAAAGTAAGACAGCAGGGAAGGATGTTAAGATTTAAAAGTGAGTACATGCTTTCCCAAGGGTCCAAACAAACAAGAGGAGGTCAGGAGCCCAGCCAGACACTGGCAGCACCTGTACTTCAGACTGGCTCTGAAGAGCGCCGAGAATGACTGCCTGCCAGCACACACCCCAGGGAGGCTCCTCCACTGCCCCTCCCTCCGTCTGGTGAGACTGGGCCCCTGAAGAGCAGGGGCCCACTGCCCCCCAATCATCTCCTGCACTTAGGGTGGAAATACTTATGGTCTAGGATGTGTCTGTTCATCTACTGCAATATAATATGACATATGGGGGAATATGCTTATGGGTGGATCCCTGGTTGCATTACGGGTTAGGCGTTGGGCTGGTAATCACAAGGCTGGAAGTTCAAACTGACTAGTGCTCCGTGGGAGAAAGAGGAGGTGGTTTGCTCCCGTAAAGACTGACCATACAGAAACTCTACAGACAGTCACTAAGAGTTGGAAACGGTTCAAGGGCAGTGGGTTATTTTTGGTCTTTTGGTAGAGACATTATATATATATATATGTATATGTATATATGTATACGTATATGTGTATCTATACATACACACATATTCTATTATACATTCTCTTTCAAGTTAGTTGTCATTAACTCAAGTTTGATTAATGGTGACCCCTTTTTGACAATTATCTACTGTCTACTATTGAGCCTAAGAGCCTTTTATTATTCTCAGGGGTAAGGGGCGGTCCATATTCTCTCGGACATGTTTGGGGGAGAGCTGTTTATAAGTGGGGCTCTGTGGCAATGGTACAAATAGCACGAGTCTGTGAAGCCTTCGTGTCCCACAGAGGAAGACGGTCAACAGCTAGAAGAGCAGTTAGAAATGTTTTGCGGTTTTCAGATAATCAGTGGCTCTGATAATCCACGCGAAACTGCCACGGGGAAGTCCATGCTCTGAACTACGTGTGCAGTCCTTCTCCACCTAGAAGCACATCTTCCATCCTGGGCCCCACTGTAGACTGGATTCTTCTCCTCTGAATATCAGTGAAATGCTAAGCTATAACTGGATTAAAAATAAAAACAAAAAACCTCACCATCTATTTCACCCTCTGACTTTTATTTTACTTACCTGTGCCATCAAGAGAAACATAAAACTTAGGAATGAAAGAACGGGCCAATTCCAAAACAGTTGCTTTTCCTATTATAGTACAAAACCTCCTTTCTCCATGTAGTCTTCCAAAGGGCTAAATATGTGAACATATATATTAAAGACACAGAAAAACCTAGCTCTAATCTTCATTAAAATCAAAACTCAATTCCACTGCCAACACGGCCATTCCACCTCAACGTAGGCCCAGAAGGCAGAGCAGGAGGCCCCAGAGGATGTGCAAGGCTGTCAATCGTGATGGGAGCGGACAGACCCACTTCCCTCCCCTGGGGCTGAACTGCTGACTTTGCAGTTTGTAGCCCAACACTAAACCCACTGCACCCCGTGGCTTCCTCCCAGTTGTTATTCAGGAGACTGAAAATGACTCGCCAGTTTTGTTCAACTGTTATGTTGCTGCTTCTCCTGACTTTAACTAGGTGAAGAAGAGAACAACATTTTTTTAAAAGGATGATTTTATTGGCAGCTCTTACAGCTCTTACAACAATCCATCAATTGTATCAGGCGTATACAGTGTTCTGCAGCCAAGACATTTATGTAATGACTTTATTCCACTGAATAGGTTTTACGTTAATTAAAAACATTTGCTGAACCAAACCAAGCTAAGCAAACCTCAATTCTTAAGTCATTCCATCCACACGACTTAATAAAATGAAGTCCACATGACTTAATAAAAAGACACTAAATCCAAGTCCCCATGCCTGTGTATATTTTTTAAGTACATTTAGAATTGAGAAAAATATAGTTGTTTCAACTCGCTTATCTCTAGATAGCATGAGATAAAGGAAACCACGTGAACATGCACATTAAAAAGCACAAAAAGTGAAATGGCCAGTGCTATAAAGTCCAGTGAAGGACCCTGGTCGTGCTGTGGAGAGGGCTAAACTCGAGGTCAGTGATTCAAGCCCGCCAGTTGCTGCAGGAGGGAAACTGAGACTGTGCCCCCATGGAGATTTAGAGTCTCAGAACCCGTGTGGGGCAGTGATGCTGTCATACAGGGTGGCTCTGAGGAGAGATCGACTGGACCACTGTTGCTCTTTCAAAGTAAATGAGCACTGGTAGTGGCACAGAGGTTAAAGTACTCCACGGCTAACTAAACGGTGGCTCGTGTGAATCCACAGCCGCTCTGAAGGAGAAAATCGGGGTGAAGTGTTTCCATAAAGATTTACAAACTTGGAAACTACACAGGGCAGTTCTACTCTGCTGTATAGGCTCAGGAGTGGCAATGGGTTAGAATGTTAAATGGAGTCTTTGGGGGCCTGGGAGGTGAAAATAGTTAATAGAATCTGTTGTGAACTGAAAGACATGAGGTTCTCGTCCATCCAGAGACTCCTTTAAAGAAACGGCACCCTTTGAACAGCTATTGGCAGTTCTACTCCAGGACACTGGAGGTTGCCCAGCAAGAGGCAGAATCAACTTGAAGGCAATTGCTTTGTTTTTAAAGTGTGTGTGTGTGTGTGTGTCGATCTACATTACAAAACACTGCCCCACTGTGCAAGTTAATTTAGTTGGTGTACTTAGAGCTCTTTTGCCATCTAACTGGATTCTGTGTCACATACAACATAAAATAACAGACATAAAGATATTGGATTTTGTTCCCTTTCACAAGTCCCTTGGATCCTGACCTGCCTTCTTTTGGCGGGGTGGGGTGGGGAAATAATGCTGGATTGACAGAAACATTGTAGAGAAAGTATTTAGGAGTTCCTCCTGTGCCCGTCACCCAGGTGCTCCAAGGTTACCTACATAATTCCAGTACACTTGTCCAAACTTTACAATACCATTAATTAAGAACAGGCTTCATACTGATTTCACACTGAATTTCAGTGTTCCCTCGTCTATACATTTTCTGTCCTGGGATCGAATCCAGGCCACCATGTGGAATTCAGCCGTCTTACCTTTTGATCCATTTCTTCGTCATCTTGGTCATCATCGCCGAGGGGGCTGGAGCTGGAGGAGAAGGTGGGTCCCTGAGAGTAGTACTGAGAACTCCGGTAGCCATCCCGCCGCAGTTTGTCACATTCTGCAGAGGGCACACAGGCGGGAGGGGAGACAGGGTATGTGTGACTAACAGGGATTTATTCACTCTTCTCTTACACATTTCTCGAGTCAGTGGTTAAATGCTCAACCACTAAGTGGAAGGCTGGCTGATGGTTCAAAGCTGCCCAAGAGTGCCTTCCAGGACAGGCTCGGTGTTTGGGGTCTGAAAGGCTGAAGCCCCTACGGAGCAGGCTCAACTCTGCACACAGAGGTGATCATGTGCTGGAATTGAACCAAAGACAACTAACGACCCCACAACAGTACCAAAAGCTTACAAATTAATGGTGGCATTAACAATAAAAACCAGACCCACTGCCATTTGGATGCATCTCAACTCAAAACTCAGTGATGGAGTCAAATCTGACTCATAGTGACCGTATATTGGGATTCCAAAGTTATACATCTTTAGGGGAACAGACAGCCTCACCTTTCTCCTTTGAGCAGCTAGTGGGGTGTGAACTACCAACCTTGCAGTTAGCAGTCCAACACTTACCTGAAAGCACCACCAGGGCTCCTTTAATAAAAAGAATGAAGAAAATACATCGATTCGATGGCAGTGAGTATGGTTTGGACCTAGGGGTGAATTGGTGGTTGAGTGGCAGAATTCTCTCCTCTTAGGTGAAAGGCCCGGGTTCAATTCCCAGGGAGTGCACCTCATGCCCAGCAGCCACCCATCTAGGCCAGGGAAGGTTTGCATGTTGCTTAGTTGCTGAGCGGGTCTCAGCAGAGCTTCCAGAATCCGACAAATCAGAAAAGGCCATAAAAGGTCCACGAAACACAGCAGGCTGGGCTATGCTTTGTTCCAGTGTGCAGGAGACTATCACGAGTTGGGGGTCAACTCGCTGGAGGTGACAGCCTCCCCATATTGCAACTTGTTATGTCCCCTCTAAAAGGATTCCTTCTCCAGGCCTCAGTCACCTTCGCAGGCAGATCCTACCATGAGCTCCCAGAAAGCAGAAGTTTAGGGTAATTCAACCAGTCATTCTGTAACGTGTGCAAGCAAGCTGTGGACTTTGGAGCCACTCTGAGTTCACATGCCCACAGCGTGGGCAAACACAAGAGCTCATGTAAACCCACAGGAAAAATGCAAGCCATTCTCTGACTGTACTTAGTTCCTAGCTCATCAGCAGGACCAGGTGGGAGGACCAGGGTGTTTAATTCCCTCCTTCTATTTTCGGTTCTTAATTGCACCCTGATGCCAACCCCCCTGGAAGCACTGTGTGAAGTTTAATCTGAAGCCAGGCTTTAGCTGGACACGTCTCCAACCCCACGGAGGCATGTCTGGCACCACACAGAGTAGCAGGGGGCAGGGGGCCGGGATCACAGGCTGTTGAGGGACGAGCAAATCTCTCTAAGGAGGGGAGCCTATTACACTGATTACTCTCATTACCAGGGTCAAGTGCAGATAAAGAAGCTTTAATGGTTTTTAAAAACACGCCAGAAGCTTTCCTATTACACTACTGAGGGAAGCATTTGCCTCCCAAAAGGATTCGCCACAGGGCTTCTATCAATACCCAGCTTTCTATGGGAGCAGGGGTGGGCTTCATCTTTGAAAATGTTTGCTTTTTGGGGACTTTACAAAATGGCACACCAAAAGGTACAGAAGTGTCCTGGTGCTCCAAGGGTTAAGCAGTAGGCCGCTCATCCCAAAGGTTGATAGTTCAAATCCACCTAGCTGCTGCATGGGAGAAAGACCTGTGCCGTAAAGACCACAGCCTTGAGATCGTAGTGAGCAGTCCCACTCCACCACTCAGTGTCACAGTCGAAGTAGACTCCGTGGCACTTAACAACAACAAAGGCACAGAACGAGGCCCACTCCCTGCAAGACAAGCTGGCTGAGAAGACACATGGAGCTTTGTGAGAGCCCTGGAGCTGAAGGAGCCACGTGGAGGCCCCCTGAGATGCTTCTACTGCCACTGGATCCACAAGACTGGACTGTGATCTTCCTGCATTCGGGGTCATTGCATGTGTTTCGTGAATCTGAAGAAGAATTTAGATTGATATCAGACATATGGACTAATATCGGACTTATGGACTTGATCTGGACTAAGCTGGGATGTTTTCTCAATATTCAATTGCTCTTGTATATAAAGCTCTTTGCTACACACACACACACACACACACACACACACACACACACGGCACAGAACTAAACTAGGGCATCTACCGAGTTCCTTGCTAATTCGAGAGAGCCTGTGCCTTTTCATCAAGGTTTACGGCAATAGTCACTTCCATTGAGGGATACATTTTCTCCAATCAATAAAAATTGTCTTCTGCTACTTTCCGGCCCTCTTCTCCCTCACAGTGGGAAGAGATGAAGGTTTCCAATCTAGTTCAGCTTAGGGGAAAAAAAAGCGTTACCAGAATGTCAAATGTACAACAAAATGCATACACAATCAAGACAGCCAGATACTGTCACCTCAGTCACTTCTAGGCTAAGTGATTTGGGGCCAGGCTGAGAACTGTTCACTGATAACAATGATGAGGATGAAAAAGTTCACTTAATTTATGAAACTTCTTTTTATAGAATGCTTCAATGGGAAATATTTTCATGTTTTCTCCATTTGCCAGTTTCACAGAGCAAATAACCCAAGAAGCATGTACTCTCTCCCGCTATAGAGACGAGGTTAATTAAGCATGGTCATTCGTTTCTTAAAGGGCGTTCTCGGTAGAACGCTGGGATTCTGCAAATATTGGACTTTGCTGTCTGTCAATAAAGACTTTAACACTAGGATCAAAACACCGAAGCTCCATAGCTGTACACACCAAATTCTAACACCATGCAAGGAATTCATGAACCGGTGCTGCTAAATACCTTTTCCTGTGGTCCTAAAAATAAATCTGTTCCTGCTCTCTGTGGAGCTGGAATCTCCTAAGGATTCGGAGTCAGTCTTGTAAAACATCTCAACAAAAACTATTACCACCTGCAGCTACTTTTCTAGGACTCTGGGTTTTCAAATCCTTAACAAAAGAAAATGCCCAAACAAAAGAATGAACGAAAATGCAGATGGAATGAAGACCATGGTCCTTTGAAGATGAAGACCTTTGTTGTTCGAAGGCCCAGGTCCCACCACTAATGAACTATAATAAACATCAGTTTGGAGTCTGAAAATGTACTAGTTCTTAGACATTACTTTCAAGGTTTGTCTGAAGAGTTGGGGACCATGGGAGACTGAAAAAGATAGCTCTGCTAAGACAATCGGAGCCACGGTAGTACCAATAGTTAAGCACTGACTGCTAACTGAAAGGTTGATAGTTTGCTCCCACCCAGCTGATGGACGGCAGTCAGCTTCCATGCAGATTGGTGCTGTTGGCACCATTTGAGTCAATGTGGGCTCACAGTAGTCCTATGTGACAGAGTAGAACTGCCCCAGAGGGTGTTCTCTAGGCCACAACCTGTGCGTGCGTGTGTGTGCGTGTGTGTGTGTTGGGGGTGTAGTGAGGGGACACAACAGAGGGCACAGATCAGATGCCAGGTCTTCCTCCCATGGAGACAGGATGGGTTTGAACAAAGACCTGTCAGTCAGCAGCCAAGTGCTAAGCTACTCTGCCACTAGGGCTCCTTTTGTTGTAAATATTATATCTAAGAAACCCTATGGGGGCAAGTCCACTAGTTAATACACAGTCCATATTTTATTCTCGTTGAGAATACACATGGAACCTATGCTAATAGACCAGTATTCTGCACGCACACTTGTGACAGTGATTGCACTCTTCCAATTGTACGACCCTTCTCACCCCCTTTTCCAGAGATATCCACTCTTTTACTAGACAAGCGAGACCCATGTTTCATCCACGTTGGAGACTTCAGGACATCATTTTAGGTTAAGGCTTAAAGATGATCTCAGAGCAGTCATTTCAGTCTAGAAGGCATGCAAGTGGGAACTTCTGTTTGGCATTTCCCCCTTTTGATTAGGATCCTCCCAGAGGGTCTCTGATCAAAATGTTCACTCGTCACAGGTGGGCACCATCCAAGTTCTTCCAGACTCCACGTAAAGGAGGTAGCTGCTCCTAGTGGCAATTAGCCCACATTCCAGACCCTTCTCCTACGTGTCACTCTCCTCTCTAGATCTAGGTGAACACAGACCAATCGCTTGTGCCTCTTGATGGCTGCTTGCAACGTTTTAAGATCCCTGAGTACTGTGCAGGAGAACTAGTTTGTAGAACGAACCATGTTATCATTCCAGTTAATTGGGATGCCCCATAAAACCATAGTCCTGAAGTCCAAACCAAGGGACCACATTTCATGATGTGTATGTTTGTGTTGTGCCCACTCACAACTGTCACTACTTTGTTTTCCCTTTTGTCATGACCGATGGATCTACCATACAACTTTTGCCAATACACCTTTCAATAGGCGTACAACTACTTGACAGCCATTCTGTTCATCAGCTAGGCAGCCCTATCCTTAAAAACCATGGGTGTGGTTTTGTCACCACGGCAAACACAGAAACTCAGGTTCCCCCGCGAGTGGTCTTATGACATCTTCCCTAAGCCAAAATGAAATGTTAGGTGCAGACTCAATTACTAGGAATTTGTAAAGGGAAAACCTTTTTTTTTTTTTTTTCGGGAGTGTACTCAGACTCAAAAAGTAGCCAGCAGTTCTCTGTTTCTCCACCATCCTGAGGGCTGTAGCCTTCTGTCTTTGCAATGTCTTCTCATAAGACTTTCAGGATCAAGAGATTCCTGCCTAAGAAATAAGCAAAATTGCTCCATTCCCCAATGGATTCGACTGAAAACTGGTGATAAGATCAGGCACAACTCCAAGAGGAGTCAATCTGAGTCTGTAAGGAGTAGCTCATGTAAGGGCATACAGCAATTCCCAAGGTTCACCAGCATCCTGTCAAGCTGAGGTTAGATGTGTATTGGCAAACTCTTGGTTTCTTCCTTAGTTTTTATGTGTCCACATTGAAGTTGACATATATGAAGCCTCTGGTGTGAAAAATAACAAAAACAA